ACACAGACCCACAAAGCCAAAAAGAAACAGAGGATCCAAGTGGAGAGGTATGTGTTATTGGACAAGTGTTTAATTTATGGGACTTGGCCCGCAGAACAAGAGTTTGAATTGTACTTCAATAAGTGGAGCTCTTAGAATAAATGTGGCTTGTAAAGTTGTTTTACAGTCTGCTTTGCAGAGCAGCCAACACCTCATGGAAACCTTTGAAAAACATTCTGTTTAGAAGCGATGGTGTTTATATTTCATATTTTCTCTATTTGTTTTCCCCTCTGGTTTTATAACTGAAACCATATGCAAGAAAACAGCATTTTTGTGTCTTAAAATATCTACCTGGTCTGACTACTTTTATTATTAGAAAAAAATAAAAAAAGGAAAAAAAAAGCTGTGTTTTGAAAATTCTTTATACACTAGACACTGAATTCAAATATTAACGTGTCCTTGTTTGATACCTCAAATTTCCCAAGTGACATTGGTGTAGTCGTTTTGCTGAGATTCATCATCCCTCCCCCTCCATATATGCAGTGCAGCTGCTTGCATCTGAGCTGTCTGTCTTTCCCAAATGCTACAGAGTTTACGATATGATTCACCTGTACAGGATAGGAGAGGGTGAATCGTGATCTAGATCCATATATTGACTAGCTAATGGGAGACCAATTGAGTTGCTGAGATAGAGACTTGTGCTGGATGGAAATCTGCATGGTTAGCAACACAAGCCCCACCTTAATCTCGCTGAATCACTGAAGGGATGAGACAGGTGTCTCTGAAAGGGAATCCATTCCACACAAGCAATGGCACGTGCAAGACATTGGTACTCACCTCTCTATATTGACTGTAGAGAAGCAAAAACAGTTAAGGTTTTAAATGATTAAAGAGAATCAGGAGGAGTTCCACTCTACTGGCATCATTTTGGAGATCTGGAAGGCAGACCATCCACCACAGTCACACATACACACGTGTGTATACGTACAAGCCATGCAAAAATGGTGCCACAGGCACTACCTACCCAATATGCCAGGACAACCCACTGACTAAACTTTGTCTTTTTGTTTGGCAGACTAGGAGATACCACAGCAAAAGAGGGAAAAGAAGAAGCAGTAAAGGATTGCCTTGGAGAGAAGGAAAGTATTGCATTTTATACCATACAGACCAGGAAAGAAAGATACAGAAGGTCTACAAGACCACATCCTCAGATAAAAGCATCTAACCACAGATGTAAGAGTCATTTTACCCCGTAAAGCTGTCCTGATTGCTAATTTTTTCATGGTGGTTGTGTTTGTACGGATATGACAGGACCGCTATGGAAACATGGTTTTATTTAATACCTGTGATAGGAAAAAAAATTACCCAACTATTTTGGGTTGATCTGTTTGTTGTTTATTATTGTTGTTGTTGTTATCATTGCTATTGTTGCTGATTTGTTTTATTTAGGTGTCTTGGATAAGAAAATAGGATTTCTGTGTCTGTCTTACCTACCTGGTCTGACTTTCTGGTAATTTCACGCTGATGAGCAGCTAAACTCCACCACATTGCTCTCACTCTCCCTCCTCTAAGCTGACAAATGGCAGTTTTTGTGCTCTGCTTACAGAGGCCAGCTTTGCAACACACCTGCTACCAAAACCTTGCCACATAGACCCAACACAGTGCTTTGTACCTGCTCTCTGCAAGTGTGTTACATTCAACCTCGTAGCTCTTTTGAAATGCCCTGCTTTCTCCATTTATTTTCAGTGTCACAGACCGATCCCTGGTAGAGCTTTGTTTGGTAAAGTCATTACAAGTCAGCCAAGCATTCTGTCACCATCCCAAAGTTTTGCCCTCTAGCTGTACAGTCTATTTCCTTTCCATTTCTTTATGGCTTCTGCTGAGAGCAACACGCCTTTACAAACTGCTTCTTTTCAAAAACCCTTGTGAGGCCACGTCCCTTGAAGTCAACACTTCTTTAGACACCTCTATGCACTCAGCCCTCCCAGCTCCCCTGCTGATTTCCTTTCATTTTGCACATCCTGCAGTCAGGTGATACCGTGGGATTCAAGCCAGAAAGGATTGACATTTCTAGTCTGGGTGACTGCATACCCAAGCTAGAAATCATGACAACGAAAGATTCGCATCCTGACGGTAAACACACAAACTCAGTACTTGTTCAGAGCCAGGATTTTCATTCCAAGGAGAGAGGTTACAGCACGGGCTCACCATACTAGTGAAGAAGGAAAGACCAGTTGCCTAGGTTTGGTCTCAGCTGCCTTAGCATAATGCACACCTCCCTGCAATAACCAGAAATGAGCACGTGTTGTGCAGCTGCATCTCCAGGTTCATCTTCTTGATCAGAAAGGAGGTTTAAAATGCTATGGGTTACTCACCCCCCTGGATCATGCACCCTTCCACTGTTCACAGCCACCTTGTACTATCATTTGTTTGTGGGGCAACTAAATATCTGCTGGCTTTGTGAGGGTGCAACGCCATGAATATTTTCTCCAGTAGAAAAACCCTTCTTTACTCTAGGAAGCTTAAAAATGCAAAGCTCTATGCTATCATTGTCCTGCACCCAAAAGCATGATAAAACAGCAGTCGGTTTGGGAATGAGTAGGCACAGGTAGGTCCAGAGATGAATCACAACTGCTAGGCACAGCCTTCCAGCCTGACAGATGCTCCTGAGAAGAGGGATGTCTTTTAAGGACAGTGATGAATCAGTGTTTGCTGACACTGCCCTTTTCTCAAGGAATTCCCCATCAGCAGTAGGTGTGCCATTAGTGATTCAGGCTCTCGTTAGCCCTAATTAGCTAACTGTTCAAATGATTTCTCTATTATTCCTGGAGCCTGCAGCATGAAGCACATGTCTGCTGCTTGACGTGCGCTCAATGCAAAGTATGTTTTTTTCCAGGGTAAGGCTGCTGTAGGGATCACTGTGCCCATCACAGCCCTCCAGGACCTTCTCCATCCCTTTGGGCTGCACTGCCACAAAGCCCTACAGCTCACTGCTGTATGTGTGTGGATGATTTCAGTGTCCTCCTATCTTTTCAGCACTGTTCCTTTTCCCAAAAAATTGGGAATTTCAGCCATCTCCTCCCAGGCTGCCATCCCCTATGAGGTAGATGAGCACGTTACCTTGCAAACAGAGATTTAATTCCCTTCTGATATATAGAGAAATGAGAATCACATGACCAGAACGGTTTCCTAGCTCCTGAGCTTTGATGCAGATTGCAGGCATGTTACAGATGGCCTGGTGATTTAAAGCACTATCTTGGGACTTCAGATCCCTCTTCCATAAACATGACGATTGACCTTGCAAAAATCTCCATGGCTGGAATTTCTCTCACCTAAAAATAGCCCTCAAAGCTCTGCAGCAAATCTCCCTCTGGCAATCTCCTGACAGAGAGAGGCACCCCCTTATTCACATCTAATATAGGCATATGAGAAAAGTGACATGAATCACTCTCCTGAGGTACTAGCTTTTCTCTGCATTGATGGCAAAAGGCTCTCACATGACTGCTTTGCACTTAACCCCTAATAGTTAAATTATGTGAGAGAGGGAAAGAATTTTTAAAAACATCCTGGTCCCACATCTCAATTTCATCCTTGAATTGAAGCAGTGCAGTCTTGTAAATCTGGACTTTATATGCTCTGCAGTGATGTTTCCCCTTCGTAAAAGCCAACTGTTTTTTCTCGTGGTGATGTTCAAAATGAACATGAGATACTCAGGTGCCGAGAAGGCGGATACAACTTCTCAGTATTTATTCTCCCTGATGGTTACAGCTGCACTTTGTTGCTGGTTCTGGATGTTGTTCATAGCTATGGGGCACTAACTTTGCTTTACTGATGCATCTTGTGACTTGGAGATCCTAAAAGTTGCTCCATATGCTTCTTATAATCCTCCTTACCCATAGGATCAAGCAAACAGTGCTGGTTTTTTTACATGTACATGTTAAATCTACAGCCCCAGGCTGAGGCTTGTGTTCAAAGGCCACTGCAAAGAGCTGTGCTGCCAGCAGAGAGAGCCAAAGCACAAGGCAGCAAGCACTGCAGGATGCATTCCAGAGCTGCATGTAAATTTGTACTCCATGGGGTGAATGGAAAACATCTTCTGGTGGTCAAGGATCCTCTTCTTAGAGCATCTAGAACCGTGGATACTTTTACCATCAGCCTGTCAGGCACAACAGCCTTGCTCCCAGCCAGGCATCCTTTCTCATTCTGCTCTTCTGCTGCAGGCTGTACATTGACAGCCACCTGCCAAAAGCCAGGCTTCCACCAGAAGGTGGGGCCCATATTCCACAAAACACGGAGCAAGCTCTTGGCAATGTGGTCTGCTCTTGGTCAGCACCTAGAGAAGACCCAGACATACTGTTCCAAAATGATCAGAGCAAACTGGGCAGCATCTTTGCAGATGTCATCCACAGTGTAACTCCCTGGATTGCAATGCAGTGCATTTTCTCTGAAGGTTTTATGTCTTAATGATCTTCTTAATGATCTGCTGTAGTACTTTGGAGTTTTAAAAACAAATAATCCTGTCTGGATATTCATCTGCTTAATAAAGAGCCCACAGCCCTGAGCCAAGGGGCTCATCTTTGCTCAGAGCCACATCTGGATGCCAATTCCTGAGCAAGGCTTTGATGCTACCTCACTTTGCTTTTGGTGGTCTATCAAAAGCAGATGTGGAAAGAGGAGCCCTGGCCAGGATGATGCAAGGCACACAAACCATGTCCAGTTTGCCCAGTGCAGCTCTGCGCCACAGCTCCATATCAGTCTTAGGTCATTTTACAGTCATCATCCCCAAAAGAAGACAACTATAGCAAGTTCTAGATGGAAGATTACATTGCTCTCATGGAAGCTCATATTGCTCTCAGCAGTGGCTCAGGCAGGTGTTTCTCCATGAAATCTTCCTTCTTTAAAAAATGATGTCACTGTGGGTCTCTAAACTACAGCAGAAGGTTGCCAGAGCACAAAACAAGAGGTTTACTAACACACGGATTTTGTGATTTACAGTTTCCTCTTCTCACTACTCAAAAAAGATGGATCTTGGAGAAATTGTTGTGGCTGAAAGTCCAGCTGAGAGGAACCTATATGCAGAGAAGCAGCCAAGAAGCCAGGACATGCTGGGGAAAAGTGGAAAACAAATCCACCAAGTTTTCAAGTATCTCACAGGAGAAATGAAAGAATATGGAGAGTGGATGAAAAGTAAGCACAGGGATATGCTGGGGCTCTCTGGAAGAGCACGCTGGGAACATATACATCACCAACTACACATCCAGTGCTGGGTCACAAGACAAGGGACCACTTCACCTTCTAAGACATAGCAGAGAAGGCTTGGCCTGAACTCGCTGTGAACTTCTGGTGCTTTAGTCCAAATTGTGTTGTTCTTGAGAAAGAAATTTCACTGCCATCACCATGGCAGCACATATAATTCAGCACAGGCAAAAGATGTCTTTTACACTTAATCAGTTATGGCATTCACATCATGTTCCTCATAGCAATGCCCAGAATCACACATCAGAGCTGAGGATTTGGACTTGTTTGTAAGTGCTTTGGATCAGTAGCCATCTCCCTGTCCATGTGTGGGCTGGCAACGGGGACTTCACTTCTGACTGTACAGGCAAAGGCTTTGCATTTACCAGCCTTTGGGGAGTAATAAGCACCATGAGTGTTATGTTCCTATAAAGTACAAAGCGAGTACTGATCTCAAAGATTTACTGTCCAGGCAGGAACAATACATCTGCAGATGGTCTGTGTTACCCAGAATTATTAGGGGTTTGAGCTTTGAAAGGCTATGCAAGATTGTGGCTCCTCTGTCAGGGCAAGGTTCATTAGCAGCACTGCTCCAACAAAGGAAGAGGCGTAAGAGGAGGTGAGCTGAGTTACCTCCATTCAGGGAGCTCAGGAGATTGACAGTTTTGTAGAATCATAGAATCACTGAGGTTGAAAAGACCAGTGAGAACATTTAGTCCAGCCATCAACCCATGCCTGTGAGCACTCAAGACCATTTTATTCACCCTTCTTGAAAACTAGGGATAGTGATTCCAATAGCTCCCTGGGCAACTTGTTCCCCGTGGACCCAGATTGGTTCCTTAACAAAAAAGAATGTCCCCTCTTGCTTTTTGTTAACTCCTTGCTACCTCTAGCTTGGTAGACAGCTTTTATTACTTGGTGTCCTGAAAATCTTCCTGCCCCTGCATGTTCATAATATTTGAATACAGTTAAAACTAGTGCCTAAACCCAAAAGCATTGCTGACATGCTTCATAGCTCAATACTAAGCATTAGTAAAAATTATCTCTAATTAGTCCAATCATTTTTTCTCTAAAGAAGACTCTCCCTCCTGTTTGTAACCTCCTGGATCACCAGCAACATACTGCTAAAGGGATGCATTTGCAGTCACCCCTTAAGACACGCTGCAGCCTTTTGGGAGGTCTCTCCCAGGGATGCTGGATAGATGCAGAGTGGTGTCTGTCCCTTGAGAGTTCCTCTTTTTGAGCTACCTCTATCACAAAGCAGAACTTAAGACCCAACTGTAAATAAACAGAGAAGGGAAGTGGAAAAGAAGGGGGTGGTAGGAAGCTGTTACGAATAAGACATTGCCCAGATTCAAGAAGCAGCCTGGCACTTCACTCCGTGTCTAATTAACAGTGTAAGCTGAGTAACTGAATTAATTTCAAATATTTAAGAAGTAACATTACAGTGCCATTTCCACTTTGCCCTCAAGTCAATTTGCACAAGGGTCAGGAATGCAGCTACTGCAGTGCTGCAAAACCCTCTTCTGTACATGGACTACTGTACAGAGGTGCCCTCAGACAACCTCATACCCCTCAAGTGGATGGGTTAGAAGGTGGGAACTGGGGGAGAAATGTCCCTCCTGCTGTAAGAAAATCTCAAGCTCACAACCACTTGAGGAACCTGACTATAACTCACTGGGTCCCAACAAGATGTATCCCAGAGTTCTGAGGGAACTGGCCAATGCAGACACCAAGTCATTCTCAATGATATTTGAAAATTCATGGCAGTCCAGTGAAGTCCCTGGTGACTGGGAAAAAAAAGGTGATATTGTACCCTTTTTTAAGAAAGGTAGAAAAGAGAACCCAGGGACCTTCTGACCTATCAGCTTCACCTCTGTGCCTGGGAAAATCATAGAGCAAGTCCTCCTGGAAGCTATGCAAAGGCACATGGAAAGGAAGGAAGTGATACAGGATAACCAAAACGGCTTCACCAGGGGCAAGATCTGCCTGAGCAATGTAGTGGCCTTCTGCAGTGGCATAATTGCATCAGTAGACAAGGGAAGAGTCACTGATGTCATTTGTCTGGACTTCAGCAAGGCTTTTGACATAGTCCCCCATAACATTTTCTCCAAATTGGAAAGACATGGATTTGATGGATGGACTACCCAGAGAGTAGTGGTCAATGGTTCAATGCCAGATGATGACTGGTGTCCCCTAGGTCAGGATTGGGCCTAGTGCTCTTTAATATCTTTATCAATGACATTGACAGTGGGACTGAATGTAAGTTTACAGGTGACACCAAGTTGTGTGGTGCAGTTGGCATGCCTGAGGAACTGGATGCTATCCAGAGACCTAGACAGGCTCAAGTAGAGGGTGAACACAGGAGAACCTTATGATGTTCAACAAAGACAAACACTTCCCTAATGCTGGTGACTCTATTATTACAAGCCAGGATACCACTGACCATCTTGGCCACCTGGGCACAGTGCTGGCTCACATTAAGACATCTGTTGACTAACATCTACAGATCATTTTCAGCCACACAGCTTTCCAGCCACTCTGCCCCAAGCCCATAGTGTCACATGGGCTTGTTCTAAGTGAAGTACAAGGCCAGGTGCTTTACCTTATTAAAGCTCATACAATTGGTTTCAGCTCATCAATGCAGCCTATTCAGTTCTCTCCGAAGAGCCTTCCTACCCTCAGGCAGATCAGCACTTCCTCCCAACTTGGTGTCATCTGCAAACTTACTGGGGGTGCATTCAACCCCCCATACCATCAATGAAGACATTACACAGGACTGTCCACCATGTCACTGAGTCTGAACATTACACCAGGATGCAAGCAAGCATGAAAATTCCTGCTACCTCAATCTGAGCACTGAGCCACCTCTGCTATGGGGACCTGCATCACACCCTGCCTCAAGAGAATTTTACCACCTGACTCTTCCATGTTCTGGGTCACCAGCTTCCTCCATAAAACAGCAGAAGTGTTTCTTTTATATTTCCCTATCCAAACACAAGCTAGTTTCAGTCTTTGCCTCTGTCCCTCTCTGTATCTGAATTATACACAGAAACAGGTCTATCTCCTTGTTTAAATTTATAGCAGAATCTTCTGCAAATACTTTTTTTTTTAACCACCATAAATAAACCATTTTTTATGAATCCCTCCGCAGACCCTATAGCAGTGCCCAGTCCCTGTTACTTCAAGTGTCAGATGCAAAAAATGCTCAGACAGAAATAAATCAGAGCCTGTTTTTATAGTCCTGTTGATACATCACCTCTGTTCCGTGTCGAGAAAACAACTGTCAAGCTGCGTGTGCTTTGAAGGAGTCCCAGTGAAATGGTGCCTTATCACCAACATTTTTATTTTATCTCCTTCAGATAAACCCTTCATGGTTCAGCTGGTGGACTGGATCTTGCGAGGCACCTCTCAGGTGATGTTTGTCAACAACCCTCTCAGCGGGCTCATCATTTTAGTGGGGCTTTTTATCCAGAAGCCCTGGTGGATGCTGACGGGCTGTGTTGGAATTGCCACATCAACGTTAACTGCTCTGGCTCTCAGTCAGGAGAGGTATGTGGGATCTCTGAGATGATCATTATGATATCAGGAGCATGCTGATGGATTGCAGCCCTGTTTTCAACCGTATTAGAGCCAGCAGACCCACTTTCCCCACTTGGCTTGGAAGAAGTTAGGTGAGGACAGAGCTGTGGTCCAGGAGGTGGATAGTTGGCCACCATTGTGAGAGTAATGTCATCTAACACTACAAGTCCTGTTCTCTCCCTGATAGCCATTAACTTTTGCCATCATCACAACCATACGATTTGGGTCACGCAGAGCTTTCTGGATCATCATTCCTTAACAGAGGGCTAAAACACCTCTCCTATGAGGAAGGGAACTGAGATTGTTTAGCTTGGGGAAGAGAAGGCTCCGGGGAGACCTCATTGTGGCTTTCCAGTACTTGAAGGGAACATATAAACAGAAGGGGGAATGGCTGTTTATGAGGGTGGATAGTGATAGGACAAGGGGGAATGGTTTTAAACTGAGATAGGGGAGGTTTAGATGAGATATTAGATGGAAGTTTTTCACAGAGGGTGGTGAGGCACTGGAACAGGTTTCCCAAGGAGGCTGTGGATGTCCCATCCCTGGAGGCATTCAAGGCCAGGCTGGATGTGGCTCTGGGCAGCCTCGTCTGCTGGTTGGTGACCCTGCACACAGCACAGAGGGGTTGACACTAGATGAGCACTGTGGTCCTTTTCAACCCTGGCCATTCTATGGTACTATGATTCTAATAGTCTCAAAAATCTTGCCTTCCACAGACCTCTGCAGTGAAACCTGGCAACTATCTCACTGCTTTCTCCATCCTCCCCCTACACACCCTTCACCAGGAGCAGGATATTTTTAAGTTGCATTTCAGCAAGTCTCTGTGGCAGATCACCTTCTGCACAGCTTGCTGATTTGCAAATATTTCTTTGTATCACAGATCAGCCATTGCATCGGGACTGCATGGCTATAATGGGATCCTGGTGGGATTGCTCATGGCTGTCTACTCGGATAAGGGAGATTACTACTGGTGGCTTCTTACCCCTGTGGCAGTTATATCCATGGCCTGGTAAGTGTCACATCTTTCTTAGGGACAGTTCTCAAAGAGTGAGGAATTCTGCTATATGAATCTTGTACATATTACAAGTCCCATCTGCACAGTCCCCTACATCAGTAGCTCCAGCCAAGGTAGCATTGGAGAAGGCTCTTTATTGAACGAAAAGACATTGCCAGGAGGTCAAGTGAACCAACAAAGTCAATTATACCTGAAGGACAAAGCAGCTGTACTTCAGTGCACATTTATGGACCTCATCAGCAGATCACACTGCGATGGATGTCACTGTGCTCAGCACTCCTATGATGCTACCTTACCTTGGTGAACTTACATGGTGTTGAACTGACCTGAAGCTTCCAACTTCCCATCTCAGATGGGAAGTCACGAATCAAATTATATCCTACAACTATTTCCAAAAGCTAGACAGCATCCTTTCAGGACTATATTTACCATTTCTAAATACAGACCTTAACAGCAATGCGGAATCTATTTAACAGCCTCAACAGAAATTAATTCAAAAGCCACATTTTAATCACCGTCGGTGACAAGATACAAATCATGACTGCATTTCACTGCTTTTGAAATCAGATTTTTCAATATTTTATTTCACTAGTCACTGTCGGCGAAGGTCATTTTGAGACACTCTTTCAAAATCCAGAACATGTTGCAAGAATGTTTAGTCTGTCTTGTCTGCCAGAATTCCCTGAGGCTTTTTATTCAAACATTTCCCTGTTTTTCTAGTTCGCAGGCCTCAAGTGTAGAGCTGAAAGGTTTTAAAATTAGACTTTTCAGAGATTCTCTTTTTCAACCGGTAGCTTGAATCTCAGCTTTAGAAGTCAGAATTTCTTTAATTGTTTCTTTTTTTCCTGACAAGATGTATAGCTGGCAGAAGCTTTGTATTTCAACACAGAAACTGGGACGCTGTTTTCACTGAAGTGGTGGGTTTTTTCTACAGCAATGAGCAAGGAAGCCTTTAAGCTGCTCTGGAAACCAAATTCGTCATAAAAGAATAGGCTTTATCTGAGAATACAAAAGGAGAACAAAGCATTTTTTTTCCATTGATAATATCTTCACAACAGGACACAAGAAGTTGCTTTTGAAATGCCAAATAATTGTTTTCTTTTGTTTTCCGTTTTGTTTTGCTGTTTTATTTTGTTTTGCTTTAGATTAGAACCAGTCTAATGTTCTTCAAATCCAGCTTCTTGAAGAATTCAGGTCTTTAAGTTGTATTTCGTAAGCTGCACAATGCCTACTGCAACTCTGAAGCTGACTGTAAGGGTGGCTCAGCCCAGTTGCATCACCAGAGCTGGGATAAAACCATCAAAACACAGCCCATTTCCATCAAGTACATGGCCTTCACTCTCATTCACATATTTTCAGGGCCCGATTTAACCAAAAAAGACCAAAAAGTAATTTACGTGGTGAGAAGACTTCTCAACTATATGCTTACATCTGCAAATGAGTTTGATAGTTGTTGTAAAAGGACAAACAGCATTCTCTAACTATTGGACAGATGCAATCTACTATGTGAAGGAATTCACTGCCTAATGTTTCCAAAGGAATAGCACTGGCTTGCACTTTCAAGAGCTTATGACCAAAATGGTAAGATGCTTCACCACTGTAACAATGATGAACAAGCTATACTTGTTTCTCTTTTCCTTTCATTCTCAGTCCAGTCCTGTCCAGTGCATTGGGATCTATTTTCAGTAAATGGGACCTTCCTGTGTTCACTCTGCCCTTCAATATTGCGGTGACTTTGTACTTGGCAGCCACAGGACACTACAACCCTTTTTTTCCTACGACCCTCATCAAGCCTATAGCATCAGTGCCCAATATCACCTGGTCTGCAATCAATGTGCCTCTGGTAAGCTTCACCCCAACAAGTTTAGGGTGTTTCATTAAAAATGTGAGCATGAAGACATTTATCTCTGGGTAGCAATTTCTCATATGCCCAGTCTGAGCAGCAGCCATTTGCAAAAATAAATGGTTTAGTTCATTTCATACAAGAGAGTGCCATGTGGGCTCCAGGGACAGTCCTGGCTAATCCAGCAGAGAAAACTGATCAAATCTCAGAGATCCTGAACCTCTCACTCCATCCAAAGTTAGATTGCCCCTAAACATGCCACAGTTGCTGTTATCACATGAGTATATCCAAATGTGCACACTCACTGTCCAAATGTGGTCAAAGGGATGTCAGCAGGACTGTCAATGAAAATATGAAAAGAGGGAGGAAACGTCATGATCTCACAGGGGCAGAAATTCATTTACACCCATTCTCCTCTGGCCAGCTCTAGCACTGGAAAATGTCTTGTTACATTTACACTCCCAAAGAAATGTTAAGGGGAACAGATATGCTTCATCTAATATAAAAAACTATCAGCTCCAAAACGGGATTACTGCTTAGGAGGGTTACAGTTTTTCTCCTTCACTAAAGTCATTTACAACAAAACCACGACAAACACATGCTGATCGTATTGTCCCAGAACAAATAAAAGCACAACTTGGACTGATGAAATTCAGAACAAACAAGAAACTAACTCTGGAATGAAGGACATAAGCACCTACATTCACTCAACAGCCCTGCTCAGAGCCAGGGTTGCCACCTTTCTTTTCTAATCAATAACTTGGGCAAAATAACTGTTGTGTCCTTCACTCAGAGCTACAATAATATTTCCCCTGTCTACTGGCCATTGCAGCTCTTGCAGTCCATCCCAGTTGGTGTTGGTCAAGTGTACGGTTGTGAAAACCCCTGGACTGGAGGCATCTTCCTTGTTGCTTTACTCATCTCTTCCCCACTTATTTGCTTACATGCTGCAATTGGGTCTACAGTTGGGATGCTTGCAGGTAAGAAATATTCACCAACATCATCTCAATTAAGAAAATACATTGATCCAAGCCAACATGAGATTCTGTCCAGGGTTTACAGTTGCATGGGCTGAGGGAATGCACTCCCGTTTTTGGATTTTAAAGGTCTTAATGAAGGTCACTCAGCATGGTGAAGGAAGAACAGAAGCAGGTTTTCTATAAGCTCTAAATTTGTAACTAAATTTGTAAATCTGGCAGGTAGTTTGCTCCATCTTACTTAACCCTACAGCCATTGGATGAACACCACCCAGTACAGCCTCACTCCACTAACCAGAGAAACTATCCTAGTTTAACAGAGATGAATGTGACCCCTGAATACAAACAACACCAATGCCATTTATGCGAGCAACTTTAATAAAAAATATGGTAGAATTAGCATAGTCTGAGGCAACTACCTTGAAAAAGGTTCAGACATCCAACATTAAGTTCTGATTTGCACTCTGAAGTGCTTTTTACAAGGTGTGACCTGCCCTGAATTTGTATTTCTAAAGAAAATTATCCATAATTTATACGGTTAAGAACATTTGACAAGTTTCATACAGGTCTGACATTTAATCTAGAAGAGAAAGATCAAGAGAAAGTATGTGGAAATATAAGCAAGATGATGAGGAACAGGAGACAACTGAGGACATTACAGCAGGAAAAGTATTGCTCTGAAGAAAAAAATGGCCTATGCAATACATAAGATGATACTGTTTTTAGTGATAGCCCCAATACATATGAGAAGTCCTGCAGAAGTAGCTATGATGTCAGGCTTCTGGCAAAACCTCAGCTCCCATCCCAGTGGAAGATTTCCACAGCAGTGATGGAGGGACTAGAACACATTTAGCATTTTAGCAAAGACCACAAGGAAGAGCTGGAAAATTCTGCTTACTCCTACCAAAGCTGTGCCTCTAATACTCAAGATCCGGGAACATGTGAGATTTAAACAACACACATGAGAACAGCTTTCTGCAAGGAAGAAACCCAAGTGAGAAAGCCTTCACGTACTCTGGCTGGATCTCCCATCCAGATATCCTAGGGACTCACCCGAGCAAATATGGGGCATAAATAGGAAATTTTACCTGAGGAACCAAATTCCATCCCTGCTGCTCTATCACAGCTCCAAAATAATGAGTTCCTTTGGAGTTCACCCTTTTTCTGCAAATGAATGTTGTGCAAGTGTGAACACTGTAAATTTGGCTGGGTATCGTAGGGAAGAGACTGAAATTCCAACAGGTAAGATTTACTTCCTGCAGATACTTCCCATAGCTGACTTCAGCCCCCTGTTTTTTTGTCTTGTAGCGCTGAGTATTGCAACACCATTTGACAGCATCTACCTTGGCTTACACAATTACAATTGTGCTCTCGCATGCATTGCAATTGGAGGCATGTTCTATGCCCTGACCTGGCAGACTCATTTGCTGGCCCTTGCTTGTGGTATGTATCTTATATGATAAGGGAAGCCAAAAATTTTTGCATCCACGCAGTATATGAACGGTACAGGACAACTCTGAAAAAGCTTTGGAATTCTGAATTGGTGCAAAAACTAGGTACTCTGCAAGAGTTACTTCTGCCATGGCATCAGATTTGAGCTTGGAAGTGCAAGCCACAAAGGCAGAAGTAAAGGCTTCTAGATAACAAGACTTCTGATAACAGAGAAACAGTGCAAGGAGCATTTGTGAGGAGCACAAGCTATGCCATGAACAGAAGTTTAACAAATTATCAATTCAAGAGATTCATAGAAGCCATTCCAAAATTGTAATTATCCTTAGAGGATTTGCCTCACAGGACGAGAACTGTTGTCCAAGTTTAGTTTAAAATCCATTTAGCAAAGACACTCACCTCCAGCAAAAGCCAAAACCAGATAACACGGGCAGTTTAAGAACAGTGTACCATGTAGAAATTCCTAGTGAAGGTTAACCCAGCCTCCAGCCATTTGTCATGTTTGACATGCTTGAACATCCTTTCTCAGTTATTCAGGGAATGATTCTGATCCCCACAACACACAGGTCGAGTTGTGTCAATGGATAAGGAAATACCACTATCACCAGCTCTTGGCAAAACCATTTTCTTTCACCGTCCACCATTACAGAGCAGATAAGACCAATTGTAGACCACATGGCAAGACACAACATTGGAGCATATTAACCAACTGTTGAATTCTAACATTAATCCTCATACAAGATGAAATGATTTACTGTGCAGTTGAATATTTTTACTATTTCTGATATTTTCCTTGGAAAGCTGAGCTATTCTTTCCCCATCCTGAGCTATCTTTGTTCTTCTTTTGTCAGCATTGTTTTGTGCCTACTCTGGAGCAGCTCTTACAAATGCACTATCTGTGGTAAGTTTAGATATTTTGTGAGCTTTGTTTGTTTGTTTTAGCTATGTTCTGATTTTCTCATGATACAATGCCGAGGAAATGCTCCAAAATTCTCCATGTCACTTCTGACAGTATTGAAACGAGAGTGCTGCAGCCAGCAGCATCTCTTATAGATGGTGCATCAGCTGAACCATGCACCTGCAAACTCTACAATTGACAATATGACTTCAAAAACCTCTGGAGCATATAATCCAGAATGGGAATTTGCACATAAATGTGAATTCCTGCAAGTGCTTATGGTTTGAGATGCAATATTAAGCTGCAGCCAACATTTTTAAATGAATCCCAGTGGTCTAAAATTTTCCTTGCTTTTCCCACTCTGCCCTCAAATTTTTGACTCAAGTTTGGTCTGAAAATGAGAACCATAATTATTTAAGATTAAAAAAAAAATAAAAGAAAGCCATTGCTCTCTTAAATACAGAATTATTGTATCTGTGCAATTCAAGAAAGAAATGAAGCTAGAACTGCCAGGCTTTGTTTCTTCAAGATCTGAGAGAATAAAGCAAAACCACATTTTAATAAAATTGATTTAGTAACTTACAATGATAAAAAAGAAGTAGAACTAACAGCTTAAATGCATTAAATGTACTCATCTGGAATTCTGGATGTACCATGTACATCCATGAAAAAGGCTGCTTTAAGCACACCTGTTTTGGGTATGGATCAGGGAAGAGGACAACAAGTTTTTTTCCCTGTAATCTTGATTTTGGCAGACTGCAGGACAGGGTAGGAGTTTGGGTCACAGAGCAGGACTGTTGGGTAGATGCAATGCCAGTAATTCATGGGCACTGAGGACTGAAGTTGTGTGAACAGTATTCTCAGAACAAGTTTTACAGGACCATGAGGGTAGGATTTTGGTCATTTCTTAGACAGTTGAAATGTCTACACGTGAGCTGGATGTATGGGTTTTTGTTGCAGCCAGTAGAGCTCTGAAACTTGATTTAAGTGCCTCAGTGTTGCTGCTGAGTGTCATGCTTGCCAACAGCTGCACTTCCAAAAAGACCCCGGTCTACAGTGTGGGATGTCTTACACAGCTCTGCATATTTTAATCCAGTATACTACTGGATTCCTCTACATTTGGCAGCAGAGAAGCTTCCCAGACATCCAGGAACCCAGCGCACACGTAGACTTCTCCATACCTGAGCATTCTCCTCTATATTTGAATGGACAAAAGCCTATAGGGATGAGGGGGCTTTGGGAAGATGTCCTGTGTCACTCTGTTCTGATGAGAGCACAGACCTTCGCAACATCTCAAATGCCATAATTTAGCAGCGGGGAGAAGTAAGCAAAGGGAATATGCAAAAGAGGTTCCAAAACACACCTATCTGTCCACCTTCCCCTCCCAGCTTGGACTACCACTCTGTACCTGGCCTTTTTGCTTCTCGGCGCTTCTCTTTTTGCTGATAACCTCAGACAACCCAGCCATCTACAAAATCCCTCTCTGCAAAGTCACCTACCCAGAAGCCAACAGGATCTACTACCTGAGAATGAAGAGAAGAGCATCGGAGAGCAGAAGAGAAGAGCAGAAGCGAAAGGAGCAGAAACCTTCTGGCGACTCAAAAATAAGCACAGGAGGCACTCCTTTGTGCACCCCCAAAAACAGCCGCAATCACTGATTTCAAATGCCCAGGAGTTAGCAGTTTCCTAGCAGTTGGTTGGATGCAGCAAATATCACCTTCAGCAGCAGCCTGTAAGCCAGGGATTCAGCACTGCTGGATGAAATACAATTTGCCCTTGAGCCAAGCTTTCCAAAAAGCACTCAGGTAACATAATAATGGCTGTCTTATCAATCCACATGTTGTTAACTTGAAAGCCACCTCTTATCAACAGTAATTATAGGAACAGGCAGAAGAACATAAACACTGACAAGGAGCTGTATTTAATTTTAGATGTGTAATTTAATAAAATAAATATGCCAGGAGGGAGCTGGTATCTAATAATAATAAATAATGTAAGAAATACATCAAGTGCTGCACTTTAAATTAAGAACATATATATTTGAAAGTAGAATAAACAGCCTGATCTCTTCCTTTCTTGTGTCCCATCAGTGTCTTGCCTTCTTTTTGTGTCTTAACAGCTACAGCACACACAGGTAAATATTTTTACAGAGTGCATACTATTTCTTTGTGCCATCTCCTGATTCCCCATTAAGTGTCAAGACAATGAAAGTATGAATATATGTGCTTTAATCATACTGCAGAAATGACTAGCTAGACATGATCAAAACATTTTTCTTTTCCTTGCATCATCCTCTGTCTTAGAAATAGAAGATCTATCTCCTGCTGACTGCAGGATTGCAAGTCTGAATCGCGGCATGCATCCAGTGGAAAACAAAAACATTTTACATAAAGAATGAGATAAACATTTACTGTTGGTAGCAATTACTGCAGTTCTTTCTCTCCCTTTCCTAGGGAAACTCTTCCTTTGCATTGAGCCACAAGCAATAAGCAAGTCAAATACTGTCCTTGTCTGCTGGGGGCTGGACTGGGGTCTTCTCCTGTGTTTTCAGGAGCTGTCCAAGCTATCATGAAACACTATCATCATCGTCATGGGAAATAGAGGGTGGCTTTGCTGCTGTGTCACCCAGTGTGGTGGTTTCTAACAGGCATAAGGTACAAGCGAAACACTGCTATTTCAAGTTTCCTCCAAGTCCTTTTAACAGGGAAGTTCCAATTGCTCACAAGAGAGCTTTCCTTGGGAACCTTTCCAAAAGCCACTACAAAGGAAGCCTAGCAGAAAGGCTTCCACATTCTAAAGTCATTTCCTGTGATCAGTTTAAAAATCATAGGCACAAAAGATCTTGAAGATTTAAGGTCAAAATTCAAAGAAATATCAGTCAGTGTTTAGATTAGATGCTATTCTTTTTGCATCTTGATGCGGGGCTGTTTTGCATGTTCATTTGAGTCTGTCTGAGCAAAGAGATGGAAGCAAGCTGTAGTGCTGTTTTTGAACTTTTCTTAAAAAAGATGTTCCCCAGTCCTACCCAAGGGAATTTCTATGTCTTTATAAACACCAGATTTGCAGCACAAGAAGCTGCAGTCACTCTAAGCAATCCTTAGGAGAACCATCCAGGATTGAATGGGAGACAAAAATGCAGTGTAATTAGAAAACATTTGAACATACTTAAAAAGGGAATTTAGTTTCTGCTTCTTATTCTATTTGTATTACAACAGATTTGACATTCTACCTGAAAGGAAAGCTCCAGACATGCAGATAAGACCAAATTTTAGTAGACAAGATAACCCTGACATTGACTACGTAGAGTTCCAGTGAATTGTTCAGTCTGTTCCACCCTTCAGACTTGAATACCTAGGTTATATCTCTATCCCATTTTTGACCTCAAGATAACCTCTGAATCTGGCCATACAGAGGTCCTCCAGGAAAGCACTAAGAGAAAGAGTGAGAATTCCTGCATACCATAAGTTTTCTTAGAGATTAATAAAAGAGCAAGAATCTGAACAGCCTACTCAGTACATTTGTCATGAGACTTTTGTCTTGTTTAGGTGGATGGGACTGATCATAGCTTGATATCTTGCCTACCTCTACCAGTGAAAGGAAGATCTGACCAATATTCAGCTACAGTAGGCAGAAAAGTAAATGCATTACAGCAACCAAAGGCTCCCATGGAAATCCCAGGAGCCTCCTGGAAATGCTCAAGTCAGACAAGATGAAGGGATAGGCTATTTCTCTTCATCACACAGGTGGAGGGGAACCATTGATTTAGGAGAAGGATTGCAGAAACATTATCTAGGCATTGAACACAAGAAATAAAGCCTAAATATCATAGAGGACTGCTGCAGATAGTTCTACAATCTCAGACATGTTCAAAGGACTTTTGCAGGCTGCCCATGCAGCTGCTTATTCGTGTATGGTAACTGAGGGGGAAAAAAAGCAATAGGGAACAAAGAAACCACCAGAAAAGTATCAGTAGGCAGTGAAGAAAGCAGAGAACCACAGGAGGACAGGTTGGCAATCCATCCTTTATGCCATACAAAGAAAGAATACCAATACTATTAAAACAGAAAAGAAAAAAAAAAAAATCCAAATTCCTTAGAAAAACAAAGTCAAAGGGTCTCTTCATCTGCTCTACAGTTTAATTTACCTCTTAGACAATCTAGCTTCAGAGGAAGAGTTGAAAAGAAGCAGCAGTTAGAAAAATTCTGTAATAAATTCAGCTGAAATAATGTTTCAGAAAATCCTCAACTGTGGTTAATTATGTCAAGTATATTATTTATTTTCTTAAAAAAAAAAAGAGTCGAGTCCAAGTACAATATGGCTACTGGAAAGAATTTGTCATGAAAGAGCCATTACAAACATTAACTTCTCAGCCACAAGCAAATCCACCCTGAAATCAATTAGCAAAGCAATTTCTAGGGTTGAAGACATCCATAAAGAATAGAGAGTAAACAGGGTTGTTCTGTCCCTAGCTAACCAAAAGATTTGAGTAACTATAGCCAATACTAACAACTCTTGAAAACAGTCAAGATAAATATCAAATGTCTTCTAGATGGGAGCAGTAGACAATCGAATCACTGACTGAAGTTATCAGCGGCCACAACTCCGAATTTCAGTTATTTCCAAAAGTGCCAGTGATCTAATATGAATTAAATGTGCCTGTAAAAAAAGAATAGCCAGAAAACTAAACCTCTTCTATAGTCAGAGCAGTCATTCCAACCAGCTTACCTCTGCAGTAAATGAGATAAATATTCCTGTGCAAATAAACGCTCGGCCTAGCAGTAGTATATACAGAACAACTTCCTGAAAGTTTGCCTTCAGAAACAAAAGAGTGCAAATGGGAACAGACAATGCAACATGAATGAATTATAAGATGCCTCCCCCATGAGCAGAGAAGCCCATCTATTTTGTTATAACTGGAGAAGTACCACTACATATTCCACATGACTCCAAGAAAAAATGCTTTCATTGTTTCTTCAAAGGTCATCTATTTGCTTCTAAACCCTTAGTTAAAAGAAGAAATATATCCTTAGTCTTTGAGATGGCTCTTCCAGCTCTCCTCACATAGGCACAAGCACATGAGGTCCGTGCTTCAGATGTCCTCATCTGGGTGTTGATGACCACAGAATGATCTAGGGAAACATGAAGGGATGGAATTTGCCTTCCCAATGGACATGAACTATAGCATAGGCCAGAGCCACACTGAGCATCTCACTGCCCACCAGGTCTCTTCGTCTGGTGGCCCTTTTCCAAGGAGATTTATTAAATGTGGGACATGATGCAAGACCCAGGAAATCAGGCATCCAGCAGACCTGCAATCACAAGTGAAGCACACAAGCCCTATCCTTCTAGCCCTTCTCCAGCAAACTTACATCGCCAAATTGAAGCAAAACAAAAGCCACATATTTTTGGCCTTGTACTCTTTTTTTTTTTTAACTTGAAGCAAGATTCAAGTTAAACGTGAGCACCTAAAAAAAGGTGGCTGTGTTTTGGGTTTTTTTAAACCATTTGTTGTTTGCAGAGGCTTAGATTGGAAATATTCCTTTCCTTTCTACTTTCATCAATAAGTTCAGCTGAAGCTAAGTCTCAGAGGTTTGTTAGGATTGAATTTGTTAACTAGCCTGAGGAAGAATTTGACAAGTCAGGGGCACTGGTGGTTTGTGAAGAGCTGACAGGAAGAAGAGATTTCTAGCCAAAGGCTATCAGAGACCTCTCTGAGACCCCTTTGTGGAAGGAAATTCTCTAGGAGCAGAGGTTTTGACAGCAGTCAATAGTGGAAACCGTGACATGAGCCACCCGAAACCACTGAAGGCCTCGCTGGGACGTGAGATAGAAACTCTACCAACAGAAATCATTACCTGTGGATACCTTTGAGATCAGTCGGGGCTTGGTCTGAGGCCACACACTTCTCTAGACACTTAGGCACAGAAGCGTGCTCAAATCCACCCAGCCAATGCATAAAGAAAAATGCATTTTATAAATGACTACCTCTTGCATCTTGTTGAATGTCAGCCCAAAGTTAAAGCCAGGTATTTCAGACAAAGTCTGGCCAGCCACGGGGAAATATCCACTTACTGCACAGCACTAGGATCTCCATGTTAGTTGATAGATGGAGTGAGCGCTCACTGCTGGCACATCAGGGCTTTATAACTCAAAAACAGTTCTATAATATTTTAACAGTGTTTCACTGACCTGTGTTTGCTTTGGGCCTGCGGTGCACAGTGTGGCCATGGGTTTGAGTTTAGCCACAGAAATACTGCAAATCTTGGATGGTGAATCCAGTCTGTAGAGGCACTGGATGGAATTATCTGCAAAAGGTGGCTGGAGCTACCTTGCTCATCTAGGGAGAGTCACGGTTCCTGGTCTTCTATCTGTCTCATCAAGAGTCTGCTCTGGACTGTGTTGTCCATGGGACATTCTCAGCCAGAAACAGCCATTGCTTTTTCTCCCAGGTATTGCACAGACATGTTTCTATGAATAAGCAACACTCTCTGAGGCTCATACCCAGTTGAACCCTTGTCAGAACATCATCACATACAAGAAGGACATGAAGCAATTAAAGAGCATTCAGAGTGGGCTTACAAAGATGGCAAAGGATCTGTGGGAGAGATGTGTGAGGTGTGGCTGAGGTCCTGCAGTCTGTTTGGCCCAAAGAAAAGGA